TTGTAAATTGGAGAATGGGAGAGTTGAAAAGTCAGGTTGAGGGAGAATGAAATAAAAATAAATAAATAAATTGAGATGAATTAGTGGATGAAAATCGTGAATGAGAAAAATTGTAATGAAATGAAATTGGGATTGTTTGGCACAATATAATCGATTTAATTGATTTTTTTCCGGTCATATCATACGTACTGTCCGCTTTGAGAGATTTTAGGCTCATCTTACACCTTACGACTTTCGATGTGTCCCACAGGATTCGAACCCAAGATTTCCATTATATAGGAGATTTAAGTTGAATCCTGGTACCAATTGGGAGAGCCAGGCCCATCTTACCCTCACGGCTTGTGACGCGTCTCACAGGATTCGGACCCAACACCTCCATCATATGAGAGATTTAAGTTGAATCCTAGTACCAACTTAAGTCTCCCATATGATCGAAGTCTTGGGTTCGAATCATGTGGAACGCTTCGAAAGCCGTGAGGGGTAAGATTGGCCTAGACTCTCCCAAAGCGAACGGTACGTATGATATGATGATGGTTCTGACGCGAGGTCGGGTCATTACATAAAGAAAGGCTATCTTCACATCCAACGCAAGTCTTCCTTTACCACTAATCCATGTACTGCTCTAATTATGGTTAATTTCATCACAAGAAAAAAAAATCCTAGTGTAGTCAATGATTCTTTCTATTAAATCCCTTTACAACTAGTCTTGTTTTATATCACTTGCTTCCATCATGTTCTTCTTTTAACTTTTAAATCCATTTATTCTACAAAGCCTTCTTTCCTTTGGTAACTCTATTACTTGCCATGTCTGATTAGATAATAACTCGTCCATCATAGCTAACTCCCACTTGATTAATTCATCAACTTGTATAGCTTCATTATAACTTTCTTGTTCATCTCTATCAGTCAATAGAATATAATACAATACTAGAGAATATCTCTGTGGAGGTCTAATGGTTCAGGTGGATCTTCTTTGTTTAGTCATAAGGCTGTTTCGATGTAATTCCGGGGCTATGTTTTCTCTATTTTCACCATCATCATTCTAAGTCAATCACTAGAAGATCTTTCAATGGGATCACCTCAGGATTCTTAACTTCAGGACTTAAGTTTTTAGGGCCTGTTCCCAACCCGTTCTTATACAAAACACTTTCAAATGAAGATCATATCCTTGCTATTGATAACCTTCCGAATTTGATCATCCCAGAAATAATAACCAAGCTTGTTATCACCATACTTAATAAGGAAACACCTTTTTGATTTAGCATCTAGCAATAGGTCAATGTGAATGTATGAAATACAGGCGAACGCTTTCAAGTGTGAAAGTTTTACGTCTCTTTCCCTTTTGATGATAATAATAAAGTATAACCACAACTTCCTATTTATAAGATAAATTAGGGCAAAATCAAAATTTACACCGATTCCAATTCCTTGATAGAATTTTACAAGAATACAAATTTCTAAATAGTCATTAGAATCAATTTTGGTCCAGGGGCGCACCCAATTTTCGATTCGTGACCGCTTCACAAAGTGACAATAATTAGAATCGAAACTAATTAGGTTCCACAACTTAACATACATCCCATCCCATCTTCTTCACTAATCTGCCCGAAATTAAAACTTCATTCCCAACAACATAAGCAGATGCCTCAACAAATCCTCTAATTCCAAA